CCACAACGCCCGGCCATTTTTTGGTTGCAGCCGTCATTGCTGTTTGGCGGGTCCAGGCTGGGGATTCGAACCCGCCACCTTAGGTGTACGTGGCTGGCGCCTTAGCCGGCCATCATCAGCACTTTAAATCCTTATTTTGCCCATGTGGAAACTGAGGCCAGAGAATTTAAGGGCCCTGCCCAGGCTCTCTCAGCAATAGGTGGCAGGGCCAGGGTATAAGTGGGGTCTACCTGACTTAGAACAAGCACTCAGAACAAGCTACTGTCCTTTGCCTGCTTCCATCTTCGCTGTGGCCTTGATTTCCAGTTATAACATCTGTGAATTTCCAGAATTTCCTTCAAAGCCCTTCATATGAAGATGCTAAGTACTCCAGTCAAGGAATATGCTAACTCACTGAGGGGTAATCCAAGGTGCCTGGGTGAATTAACCTTTTACTGCCCACGGTCATCACCTCTTGTAATGATGGTAAGTCTCTGAGGCTGAGAGAATGGAATATTTAGGAGGTGGGAGGAAGTAGGTAAATAGGGTTAGGGAGATTTGACTGTTACAATGATGGAGAAGAATGATGCTGGAAGGGTCCTGCAGCTCCCTTCCGGTTTCCCAGTGAGGGTCCAGGGCACACCCGTGTTGTGTCAAAAATAAAATCTTAAGGCTCCCCCTAGTGGCTGACTGACTGGACCTCCTCTTGGCCAAGTGATACCCTGAAACTAAACTGCTACTATGAGAAAGGAAGTCAGATATAACTCATCATGCCCCCTCCCTTCTTGGAGATATCCTTTGTAGCTAATTAACATGCCCACAGCTATGCAGGTCCTCAATTTATACAGTAAGTACAGAACCAGTAGTTTACCTGTGATTAAGAGACCCTTATCTTACTTCAAGCATTCTTTTTTGCTGACTCCTGGTCTTTTAGACAAAACCTAACTCCTTCAGCCAATTGTCAACTAAAGTATCTTTAAACCCACCTATAACTTTTAAGTCTCCCACTTTGAGATGTCCTACCTTTTTTTTTGCCCAAACCAATGTGTGCCTTCCACTCCCTGTCCCCCTGAAATGTATAAAAAACCGAACTGTAGTCTCACCACAGCAAGTTCACTCACACAATGTTTCTTGGGCATGGTTCCAGGCCGTGGTCCTCAAATTTGGCTCAGAATAAATGTATTTAAATTATTTTACAGAGTATGGCTTCTTTTCCATTGATGGTTGGTACTAGGTCTCCCAACTCTAACCAATACATTCACAAGGAACACAGCCCCTGGACATCTCTCCTACAACCCACTGGTCAACCTGGGAGAAATGAGTTTCAGTTTCACTTTGGTGATGTGGTATCTGGCAACCCCTCTTCCTTGCTGGACCGCAAATTAAGTGCAATGAAAGAGAGAGAAGAATTAGAAGGGGAGGATTTTTTTTTTTTTTGAGACAGATTCCCACTCTGTACCCTGAGTAGAGATGGTGGCATCATCATAGCTCACAGCAACCTCAGACTCCTGGGTTCAAGTGATGCTCTTGCCTGGGCTTATAGAATAGCTGGGACTACAGGCCTGTCCTCCATGCCCAGATAATTTTTCTATTTTTAGTAGAGACAGTCTTGCTCTTGCTCAGGCAATCCTCCTGCGTGGACCTGCTAAAGTGCTGGGATTACCATGCCCTGCCACAGTTTGGTTAATAGTAATGTAAAGTAAGAACCAATGTCATGTTCTTGCTTTTCATGAAAATACCATGCTATTTTAACGTTAACAATGGGGGAAAATGGAAGGCAGTTTTGCACTATTTTTGCAACTTTTCTGTAAACCTAAAATTAATTCCAAAATAAAACCTTGATATAAAAAGAGATGACTATGAGAGTTTTACATTCTACTGATGGATTCATTTATTCAACATTGATTGGCTATTATGTGTCGGGCACTGGGCATGTATTTGTGACTAATAGTCATGATCCCACGCCTTGTGGAATTTCTAATCCTGTGGTAATTTTGTTGCAATATTACTTTTTTTTTTTTGAGACAGTTTCACTTTGTCACTCTTGGTAGAGTGCTGTAGCATCACAGCTCACAGCAACCTCAAACTCTTGGGCTTAAGTTATTCTCTTGCCTCAATCTCCCAAGTAGCTGAGACTACAGGCGCCCGCCACAAGGCCCGGCTGTTTTTTGGTTGTAGCTGTCATTGTTGTTTAGCAGGCCCCGGCCGGGTGCTAACCCACCAGCCTCGGTGTGTGGCCGCCGACGGGCACAGGAGCCATACTTTTTTTTTTTTTAAAGTAACCCTCAACTAGTGTAGTAACCTAGCAAAATCTTGGCTGAGGAGTATATAAGCAGAATCCTTGCTCTCTCACTTCCTAGCTTTGTAACCTCAGCAGAGCTAACTTCAGTGGTTTCCTCAGTGCTAAAATACTGCAAAAATGGATTTCTTAAGTCCTTAACATATTTTCAAGCACTAAATCTTAATTGTAATCGTCACAATTATTAAAAAGACACAGGTAATCATAACATGGATTCGGAAAAGCATTAAAATGGGCAAGAAGCGTGACATTTTTGTCAAGAATGACTTGAGTGTGAAAATACCGGGCTGCGCGTTCCTAAGGGTCCTTCCGGGAGTGACCGTCACGGTACCAGTTCCAAAACCACAGCTCCGCCCCGCCCCTCGTGCTCAACTCCGACCCGTCCCCCACACTCAGCCCCGCCTCTCGTCCTCAGCTCCGCCCCGCAGAAGCCGCGCCCCTTTCCCCCTCCCGCGCCGCCTACGCCCCCTCGAAGACTGGCCTAGCCACCCAAGGTAGGGAGAGAGCGTCCACTGAGAAGAGTGAGGGGGCGGAGCCGGGAGAGATCCCTCCTACTCCTGGCCCGGAAACCTCTGTCCGGTGCTGGGCGGGGCGAACCTGACAGTGGCTGGACTCAGCTTTGCATAATCAATGCAGGCAGGAATTTAAAGGTGCTGTGGCCGCCACAGAACTTGCAGTTAATTCCGTGCTGATCCACCCGTCGCAATGCAACCTCAGTTGCAGGCTCCGTTGCTGGTCGCCCTCGGCTTGCTTCTCGCCGGCCCTGTGGCTCCTGCGCGCATCCGCTTGAAACAGGTGAGTGCCCCTCTTTTTAAGAGGTTGCTTGTAGCTTCTTGGCCTGGCTGGGCATGTGCAGGTCAGGGTAAACGCAGGGTGCTGCGTTCTCGAGAGTTGCCTCTCTGCAGTACACTAACTATGGGACTCTGATCTGTACAATGCGGGTCGGCCCTAAGGACTTGTTCTGCACCTGGCTGTTTCTGGAGATGTTAATCTCTCTCCAAACACCTGAGCGAAACTGCGCAGAATGGTAAAACTAAGCCAGTCCCCCGGGCTGTGATTCAGTTCTGTTACTCTGTTTCTTCTCTGTTTCCCCCCCACTTCTCCCTTGCAACCCTGATATTCCCGCCGTAAGGCCTGGAGCCTTATCTCTTCCCATACTTTAATGCTCTGAGCTCTCTTCCTGAGGAATGGGTGGGTTGAGAATCCCCTGCCAGCCAGAGGTCCAGGCTGGCCCATCTGGTAACAAATAATTGTGTTTTGCGACCCCGCTGCCCTTGATTGTGAGCCACTGAAAGACCAGTTCTGCCATCCTCCAAACTTCCCCTTCACTTCTCACTCAGAGCCTGCAGCAAAATCCTGCAGAATTTTGCAAGAAAGGGAAGTTCCATACATTTTTTTTTTAAGTAACCCTCAACTAGTGTAGTAACCTAGCAAAATCTTGGCTGAGGAGTATATAAGCAGAATCCTTGCTCTCTCACTTCCTAGCTTTGTAACCTCAGCAGAGTTAACTTCAGTGGTTTCTTCAGTGCTAAAATACGGCAAAAATGGATGTCTTAAGTCCTTAACAAAACTTAACAAGTTTTTCATTCCGAGACCTGAAAAAGCCCAGTTCTGGGCTTATTTCAACATAATGTTTTCCAGATTCGACCATGCTGTTGCAAATGACAAGATCCCCACCTTATAGGTTGAATAGCATCCCATTATGTATATGTACCACGTTTCCGCTATCCTTTCAATCTGCTGGATAATTCTTTTTATCCATCAAGTGTCCGTTGATGGCCACTTAGGTTGTTCCCATATCTTGGCTTTTATGAGTAATGCTGCAGTGAATATGGGACTGCAGATATCCCTTCAAAATATTGATTTTAGTTCTTTTGGATATACCTAAAAGTAAGATTACTGGCTTATAGGGTATTTCTATTTTTTTTTTTTTTTGAGACAGAGCCTCAAGCTGTCCCCCTGGGTAGAGTGCTGTGGCGTCACAGCTCACAGCAACCTCCAACTCCTGGGCTCAAGTGAGTCTCCTGCCTCCACCTGCCAAGTAGCTGGGACCACAGGTGCCACCACAATGCCCAGCTGTTTTTTAGTTGCAGCCATCATTGTTGTTTGGCGGGCCTGGGCTGGATTTGAACCCGCTACCTTAGGTGTATGTGGCTGGTGCCTTAGCCACTTGAGCCACAGGCACTGAGCCAGTATTTCTATTTTCATGATCTCACTTATATATGGACTTTACAAAGTTGAAGTTAGAGAAGTAGAGTAAGAACAGTGGTTACCAGAGCCTAGGACTTTGTGGAGGGAGGGTGTGTGGAGTTACTGATCAAAGGATACAAAGTTTCAGATAGGGGGAATAGGTTTTGATGTTTATTGCACACAGGGGTGACCATAATTAATAAACATGTATTACATACTGAAATTTCTCAACTTACAATGGGGTTGCACCCTGATAAACCCATTGTAAGTTGAAAATGCCACTAAGTCAAAAATACATTTAATATAGCTAACCTACCAAATATCATAGTTTAGCCTACCCTATCTTAAACATTCTCAGAACACTTGCATTATCGTACACTTGGGCAAAATCATCTAACACAAAGCCTGTTTCATAATAAAGTGTTGGATGTTTCAAGCAATTTATTGAATACTGTACTGAAAGTGAAAAACGGAGTATGGATATTCAAAGTAGTTTCTACTAAATGTGTATCACTTTGACACTATTTTAAAGTGGAAAAATCATTGGTGGAAAAACCATGCTAAGCTGGAAACTATATTTTAAAATAACCAAAAGAATAAATTTCACATTGTACCCATAAATGTATTCAACTATGATGATCTATCCATTTTATAAAAGCCCAGTTCCCTTGCCTTTTGGCTGCATAGCTCTGGCAGCAAAGAAATAGGTCCACCCCGGATTCCCTCCCTTCCACCACCTTGGAAATGTTTGTCAGAGAACAAGAAGTAGTGTGGGAAAGTGGCTAGGACTGAGAGCAGGAGACCTGACTCTGCTTCCTTCTCTGTCCCAGTCTGTGGATTCTCTGAGCCTTGGTCTCATCATCTGTGAGATGGGAGTAATGATACAAAGCTGTATCTTGGACAGTTATTGAAGGGAAATGCTCTCATGGATGGAAAAGCTCTAAAATCTTAAATAAAGCCACGTAAACCTGTGGGCTTGGCTTAACCCTGTTTCAGAGGCGGGAAGTCTGTTTTGCTTATTGAATGAAGGAGCAAGAAACTTTTGGCCTCATTTGCCTGGAAGATTTGTACCTCATCCCTGAGTGTAGGTTGAGAATATTTCTCTTGGCTCCAGGGCTGGCCACTGTGAGGTGGAGTCTGGCTAGCGGATTCTAGCTTGGCTATGTCCTCATTCTCCTGTAAGCCTTGGCTGTGGATGCCACCCCAGGCTAGAGGGTCTTAGACTGGTAGTTTTGGAGAGGGCTCGAGACTTCATCGATGTCACCCAGAATCACATGGCACCTACGTGTTCTCTGGGCTCATGTGATTCAGAGCCCTGACCCTGAGACCCGGGGACTGATGAAGGCTGTGGGAGTTTGAACATCAGGAAACCTGAATTTCAGTTCCTCTTCTAGCATTAGCTGGTTAGCTGGTCTCGTGACTCTGGGCTGTGATGAGTATTAGATAACAGGGGAGGATGGGCACATGGTAGGTGCTTAGACTCTATGGCTCTGTATAAGGGTGTTGTGCATTGGACCCTGTTCTTTCACAAAGACTTTTCATTTTGGAATGATTTTAGATCTACAGAAAAGTTGCAGAGGTGGTATAGAGTTCCCATACTCCTCCCACAGCTTCCCCAGTTAGCATCTTCTATTTCCATTGTCCATTTGCCAAAGCTAAGAAACCAACATTGGTACACTGCTATTAACTAAGCTCTCCAGGATCCATACTTTATTTGAATTTCCCCAGTTTTCTTTTTAATGCCCTCTTTCTGTTTCAGGATCCAAGCTTGGGTACCACAGTGCCGTTGTTGCCATGGTGACAGGGCATTATTGCTTTGTTGTCCCCATTCTTCTCTGGCCTATGATGGTTTCTCAGTCTTCCCTTGTTTGTCTTGAGCTTGATGGTCTTAAAGAGTTGTGCCCTGTGTTTTCTGTATACAAACTCCCTACCCTCACAATAGCTCTTGAGAAGATATAATTTTGCTGATATGAAGGTAAGGAAATTGAACTTGCTCTAAGGAAAGTTTCTTCCCCCAGTGCCTTCACCTCCTGCAGGGCACTTGAGATGCTTCCCCGATTCAGTCTTAGTATGAATCGGGCTGCCTAAGAATCTGGAAAAGCACCCCCAGGGCTAGTCCAAGATAGAGGCTTCTCTTAATTCCAGGCATTCTTTCATTTGACTGTGGCCTCCTGACTGGTTTCTCCCCTTCCAGCCTTGTTCCTCTCCAGTCTGTTCACAGCCGTCCATCAGAGCATGGTGCTGCCCCTCTGCAGTGTTCCATTGCACCTGTCGTGAGTTCAGCCTCCTGGTTACAGCCTGTGAGGTCCTGCATTGAATGATCCTGCCGCCCCTCCCACCTCATCCACTACATGTAGCCATGGCTTTCTTGTAGTAGTGTCTAGAGCAGCTATGCTTCTTTCTTTCTACCTCAGGGCCTTTGAACACTCTTTGTCTCAGTACTTACACAGCTGACTCCTCATCCTGTGAGAGTCCAGCTTAAGTATCCTTTCCCACCACCGTTTTTTTTTCAAGTGGGAAACTTCTTCTTTTTTTTTTTTTTTTAACATATACATGTGTTTATTAGGTTTCCATTTTTTGCCTTCCCCCAAATTAAAAAGGCTTACAATAACAATAACAATGTTTAAGGTAAGGACTAGAAACAAAAAGTATCATTTCCCACCACTCTTTTCACGTTGTCCTCTCAGCACTATCTTCTGCTCATTTCCTTTGTGGCGCTTGCAAATCATATGGATGATACTTATTTACAAAGCTCTTCAAGGCAGGGCAGGAACCATGTCTAATTGTTTACTACTATTGACCCAGTGCTTAGCTCTGAGTTTATAATGGTTGCTTCATAAATATTTGTGGAAGGAATGTTGAAGGAAACATTTAGTGGCACCCTTTCCTTCCTTCCTTTCTTAGTCATGGCGCCACCTTTCATTCCATGGAATAGAAACTCATTCCAAGAAGCTCAAGTAAAAGAGAACTTTACGGATACATGAGGCATCTCTTGAGACTAATGGCAGGAAGCTGAGGTGGGGCCCAGTGGCTCATGCCTGTAATCCAAGCACTCTGGGAGGCCCAGGCAGGTGGATTGCCTGAGCTCACAAGTTCAAGACCAGCGTGAGCCACAGTGAGATCTTGTTTCTAAAAATAGCTGGGCGTTGTGATGGGCACCTGTAGTCTCAGCTACTTGGGAGGCTGAGACAAGAGAATTGTCCGAGCCCAAGAGTTTTGAGGTTGTTGTGAGTGAGCTATGATATCATGGTACTCTACTGAGGGGGATTCTGTCTCAAAAAAAAAAAAAAAAAAGAAAAAGAAAAGAAAAGATGTTAAAATTGAGGCTCCAAAGGGTAACTAACTTGTAGAATCAAATAGTAAATGTGTCTGTATGATTTCCACCATGTCTGTTTACAATGTTTCACTCCAAAGCCAAGCCCTTCACTGCTGCCCCAGACTGCTTTTTTAGATAGGGCAACTCCATCTGTTTCCTTTCCCCTAGTCCCATAGAGCACTTAGCTTTTTTACCTCCTCAACTTCAGCTTGGTCATTGATCCAAGGTCTGGGTGGTCCCCTCTGCCCCCCAAACTTATGACCCAATGATATCACAGAGCCCCACGTCCTCAGCCTCTTAGGCCTTAATTCCAAAATCTGGTAGAGAGAGTCTGTCAGTCTAGCTGGGGTTGGCTCTTCCTTTTGATCTAGTCAGTGCTGGGAGTATTGAAGATGGGGTCAGCCTAGGTGGGTGGGACTGGCCAGTTTTCTTTCTGAGACAGGGTATGGACAGTGGGAGTGCCATAGTCTCCTGCAGGTGGCCTGCAGGGGTCCAGGAAAATTGTGAGAGGGTGGGCAGAGAGCCTCCTTAGTGTAGGAAGTATTTAAGATCATGAGACAAGCAGACCGGGCCCTGTGGGAGTAGGGACTGGGTGGTCACATGGAGTTGGACACAGTGATGGTGGAATCAGGAGACTTCCTGGGAATGTGGAGGAAGAGCAGAAGTGGCTCAGCAGAGGGGTAGAGGTGACTCAGGAGGGGGACATGGCCTGAGGAATGGGATGGGAAGAAGAAAGCACTGGTTAGGGCTGGGGACGTCTGTGCACTGGGGATTATTCATCAACAAATGACCCACTGGGGGTGTTTTCATGCGTCTCTATTCCCTTCTGGGTTAATTGCCTGTCTTGAGGGTGTGGGTTTGGATGCTGTTTTATTTCCTACTGTTCCTGGCCTTGCACTGGGCATAGGGTATGAGGGATCCCAAGGCTGGCTAGAGGGGAGTGGGCAGCAGGGAAGGTAGCCCCCCAAAGTCTGATAAGGTTGGTCTCCTTTTTGAAGTTTCAGGTCTGACATATTGTGCCTTAGAGTTTACAACACACTTTTGGGGAAATTGTATCTTTTGAATCGTTTAGTTTAGTCCTGCCTCTAAAATGGGTACGACAAGTGTCATCCAAGTTCACAGGTGTGGACTTATAGATGGGCTCGCAGAGACAGGTGCCTTATCGCCCAGGGTCACACTACCAGGGATCTGTTCTATGGGCTCTTCTGACACATGATAGTCACTTTGGTCAACCTATCTTTTCTCCTCTTTCCTTGCTGCCTACTTGTGCTTGGCCATCCCAGCTTGGTAGCTTCTCCTGGGATAATTGTGATGAAGGGAAGGACCCTGCAGTGATCAAAAGCCTGACTCTGGAGCCGGACCCCATCGTCATTCCTGGGAATGTGACCGTCAGTGTTGAGGGCAAGACCGATGTGCTCCTCTCTTCTCCTCAGAAGGTGAGTCTGGGACGGGAGGGGAGGTGCCCCAGGCTGCTGGTAGGGTCACTGAGAGGCTAGTGCTTGGGGAACTGTGAAGAATTTTAGAATCCTGGAGTCTCACAGCAGCACAGGCCACATAGATTCAGAGACTCTTACTCAGGTTCATGGAATCTCAGAATGGTAGGTTAAAAGGAATCTCTGGTGTCAGCGCCAACAATTTCCTGATGAGGACAGGGATGACTGACTGAAACGTCACGCCTGGTAAAAGCACTCATTCTTCTCTGGAAGCAATGGCTGTCTGCTCACCCTTGTCTGACAGCTCTGTTGGGCATTTTAATTTTGTTGCTATTGAGATTGTCAATTATAAAATAGGCATCAATTAGCCAGTAATGTATCGTTACTTGAGAAAACACAATTGGTCAAAAAAAAAAAAAAAAACCAAACAGAATACATCCCCTGAAATCTTGCTACCTAGTGATAACAATAAGGACTTTTAACATTTTATAGGATATCCTTTGCAACTCGCCCCTATATAATCACATACATATCACACAAATTTACTTTTAATGGCTATATCTGAAAATAAGCAATACTTCTTATAAATATCCTCCTGTAATCTAACTCCTCCAGAGTCTTTTTTTTGTTGAGACAGAGTCTCACTTTGTCACTCTTGGTAGAGTGCTGTGGCGTCACAGCTCTCAGCAACCTCAAACTCTTGGGCTCAAGCAGTTCTTTTGCCTCAGCCTCCCGAGTAAGCTGGGACTACAGGCACCTACCACAATGCCCGGCTATTTTTACAGACAGGGTCTCGCTCTTGCTCAGGCTGGTCTTGAACTCGTGAGCTCAAGCAGTCCACCCAGTTGGGCCTCCCAGAGTGCTAGGATTACAGGCATGAGCTACCATGCTGGGCCTCCTCTAGAGTCTCTGTTAGTTATTTAAATATCCTATTCATTTTTTATGTTTGTAAATATGTACACATTTATGCTAATGAGTGAGATTTTATGATATGTACTACTACACTTGCTTTTTTTAAGTATCGTATTATGTACTTCATAATTCTTTCCAATGATTAGGTTTACTGAATTATTTTTAACCTAATCCTTTTAATGGTAGAAATACTCTGTTGTGATCTTTCATAATTTTTATATCTATTGTTGGACATTTTGCTTGTTTTGAGGTTAGTTTTTATTTTTTTATTTTATATTTATTTGCTATTACAAAGATCTTTGTGGGGATTTTCCTTATAGTGTCTCTTTTAGTAATTTTTTGATTCTCTAGATACAGACTACTTAGGTCTTTTGATACACATTGCCAAAGTGCCTCCGAATGTTTGAACCAATTTATCCCCTAACAGCAACATCAGATTTGCCTATTTCCACACATTTATTAACACTGAGCGTTTTCTAAAAATCTTTACCAGTCTTTTATGCCATTCCTAGTGAGTTTGAATGTCTATTCATAAGTTTGTCTTCTGCATTTACTTTGAAAGTAACCAGTTTGTTTCTGTCCCTTGCCTAATTTAGGGGTGGATATGTTCATATTTTCTTATAGAACAGTAAAGGCAACACCATTTATTGTAGCCCTTTACTCTCTGGCTTAAATTGCTACATTTATGTGATGTTCTTACATACCTTCTAGTCCCCTCCAGAGCTATTCTGGCACCAGTTTCATCTTAATTATTTGAAGCTTCCTGATTTGGAATCTGTGTCCTTGTAACCAACCTTAGCTTAATTACAGCCCCTACCTTACAGGTTTCCCTTGAGTAATACCCGAGTTGAGTTAATATATAATATAGAAAGTGATTTTCACAGGGCCCAGGACAAGCAAAGTACATGTTTGTTTTTGTTGATATTTCATTAGTATTTGTCTTGGCCTGCAGCCCCTTTGACCTAGACACACGTCCTAGATGTGTGGTAGTCCTCAGCTCCTCTGTCTGTACTTCTCTTGAGTCTTCTGGCTGGGTCACTGCATTTTCTTTACAATTCCTCAGATGGAAGCATTCCTTATGTATGGACTATCACTCTGCCAGGGTCAAAATACCATTTGCATGCCCCCTCTGCTGAATCTGGGGTGTAGGTGTCAGGGCAGGCCTGCTGCCATGCTCACTCTCCTGGGACCTCCTGCCATCACCACACAATCACTGGTGGCATTTCCAAGAACCTGAAGGCAGTGAAGCTGACTGGGAAGCAAGAATCTGGCGAGCCTCCTCTTCTGTCTTCAGCTTGCCTTTTCCTGCTTCTTTAGAGGCTATGAGGATGGGTTTTATACCTATCATAAGTTTGGGCCTAATTAAGTTCTTTTGTCTTAACTCTCACTTTTGCTTAGTTAGAATTGGCCTCAGATCCCCTCGGCTCCTTCCCTTTGCCCTCACATTTCTCTTACACGTATATTTTTGGGTCAGTTTTTTTTTTTTTCCTTTTCAGGGTATGTGCACATGAACTATTAATATTAGATGAAAGCCTCTCTGGCCACTCAATAGGGAGAAAAGATGGTCGGACATAAAGCTCAGGGAAGGTGCCAGTCGTCCAGGCCTTGTAGCTGGTTGCTGGCACAGGCCAGGCTGCTGTGCTGATCTTGCCATTCCTGTTACTGAGTTTTCTGGCCAGGAGGTAGACTTAGTATGTTGTGTTTGCAGGGGAGTTGACGGGAGTGCTGCTGCAGGTTCATTTCCAGAACTTTCCCCCTCCCAGCAGGTCTCTTTAGGAGAATTACCCAGACCTAAGCACTGTTTGAGCCTGGAGAGCTCTTGTGGTCCATGGGGCTTCAGCTGAATCACAGAGTGGAGTAATCAGCCCAGTCCATGCAGCCTGTTAGCAACAGAGTCAGAAAGCAATGCAGATCTTCTCTTCTCTGACCTGGCTGTGGTGAAATTTCTATAATCAAATTCTCGTCTGAGACTGGGTGCAGTGGCTCACATCTGTAATCCTAGCACTCTGGGAGGTTGAGGTGGGAGGATTCCTTGAGCTCAGGAATTTGAGACCCTGTCTCTACTAAAAACAGAAAAATTAGCTGGGGATCATGGTGGGTACCTGTAGTCCCAGCTACTTGGGAGGCTGAGGCAGGAGGATTGCTGGAACCCAGGAGTGTGAGGTTACCATGAGCTATACTGTGCTCTACTTGAGGTGACAGAGCACGACTCTGTCTCAGAAAACAAAACAAAACAAAACAAAATAAAACAAAACACCTCATCTGGGACCTAGGTGGATTTAACCCCAACTGTAGTTTTTTTTTAGACAGAGTCTCAAAATTTCAGAATCTCTTAAATTCAATATCCCTCCTGTGTCAGAGCCCTGGGTAGAGTGCCATGGCATCATAGCTCACAGCAACCTCCAACTCTTGGGCTTAAGTGATTCTTTTGCCTCAGCTTCCCAAGTAGCTCGGATTACAGGCACCTGCCACAATGCCCAGCTATTTTTTGATTGTAGTTGTCATTGTTGTTTGGCAGGCCCTGGGCTATATTCAAACCCGCCAGCTCTGGTGTATGTGGCTGGCACCTTAGCCACTTGAGCTGTAGTTTTTGACTGTTGGATGCCCTGGATTCCATGAGCCATGGAATGGGTGAGATTAGAGCCTCACCCATCTAGTTCTCGTATCTAATCTCTAGATACCAGAACTCTCTCTCCTGACTTGCTTCATGGAAGTTGGCACAGTTGTTAACTCCCCCTGCCCTGCCTTCCCTCAAATTCTAGCCTGGGGGACCCTGGCTTTTCTGTTCTTTAGAATTATAAATTGTTATTGTTTGGTGCATAAATGCTTATTATTATGGCTTTCAGGCCCAATGACTTGGCTTTTCACCAGGCAAAGTCATGTTCTTGTTTTGCCCGCTGCTTGGGGCTTGTGTCAGAGATATAAGTGCTCCTCCCCAGTCTGAGCAACAGCTGCCTGTCCAGTGACTTGCTGTCAGTGAGTCTTTATCTAGATCCTCTGTGTGAGTAGTCGTATGTAGTGAACAAAAGGAGAAGTTTTTTTTTACGGCAAGAAACTGACTTTTAGGATGTTAAAATAGGATGTTAAAACCTCTTTGTCAAGATGGAGAAACAGGCTGGGCCGAATGTAGTAAATTATCTCACTTGGTGGTTCAGTCAATTTCAGATCCAACTCCTTGTTCTACTCCTTCCCCTTTCTTACTACTGCACTTGACTAGTCTTTTTGTTGTTGTTGTTTTGTTTTGAGATAGAGTCTCACTTTGGTGCCTTCAATAGGGTGCCATGGCATCTTAGCTCATGGCAACCTCAAACTCTCTGGTTCAAGGGATCCTCTTGCCTCAGCCTTGATGGTGTATGTTCTTTGGAGCCTCTGATCGGAGACACAGGGGAAAGAACTGCAGACGGAATGATAAAGGGAGGCCGAGACTCGGTCTGGTCTGCGGCCCGGCTAAACTTTACTGATTACCTTATATACTTTCAAACATTCAGTAAGAATTTATATACAAAGAAGTGAAGTAACATTAGGAAGCTACCATTTAAGATTACAATTTAGTGTGAAGTCTGAGGAACACATATACAATTGATTTTGTTTAGAGTAAAAACATAAGAGAGACTGGCTGTCTGTTCCTTTTAGCCCAAACTGAAACTAGAGATTATAATGTTAATGAAGGGGGAAGACAGAGAACAGGACCCAATGCTCCAACACCCCCAGCTGTGACCCCAGCTGATTCTCCATAATTTCTTTTAGAGAGACCTTTCTGCATATTTCTGCATATCTATAGGCAGGCACAGAAGCTGATCTTCAAAGAAATGTTTCTCAGAATCAGTCTCCTGGAGGAGCACATTGAAGCGAACTGCCATGTCTGAGCAAGGGGTGATTATCTCCTACACAGCCTCCCAAGTAGCTGGGACCACAGGCACCCACCATGACACCTGGCTCTTTTTAGAGATGGGGTCTCATTCTTGCTCAGGCTGGTTTTGAAGTAGTGAACTCAGCCAACCCACCACCTCGGTCTCCCAAGTGCTGGGATTATAGACATGAGCTACCGTGCTCAGCCCACTTGACTGGTCTTTAAAAAAAGGGGGGAAACAGAGTCTCTGAAAGGGGAAGGGACTTGCCTAAGGGCCCCAGCAAGTGTGTGTAAAACCCAGGATACCTCTATGCCAGTGCCTCTGTTTGTCTAGTCATTGAGCCAAGTCCCATGACATGGAAGAGTGTATTTAGGCTGTGCTATGGAGTGCCAAGGAAGTTCTGGAATACTGATGGCACCTTATTACCCAGCCCCCACTTGCTTATCTGAGCCACCCTTGCAAGTGGATTGAGAATCAGAAATGAGTTGTAGTTTGTTAAGTGCTGGGGAGTTATTGTCTCATTGGATGAGACTTGTATGAGAGGTAGGTTCTGCCTTCTGTATATGAGGAAAGGGAGACTCAGAGGAGGTAAGTAACTCCCACAAGGGCATAATCCTAGGAAGCAGCAGAACTAGCATTCCAACCCAGCACCTTTGGCTCTTCCTAGGTGGAGGGGAGGCGGGAACTGGTTTGGCAGGAGAAAGGGGAATTGGGAGGTGCTGCATGAGCAGGGGTGAGGATAATGGGTGTGTGTCAGCATCCTGTGAGTCCAGTGAGAGGAGCAATTTGAATTTGTCCATTCAGGTTACAGGATATGTTGACTTCTGCCTTCTTTCTGTGCTTGGAGGAAGGCAGCCAAATATCCTGATGTATGGAGCAGCTGGAAGATTGCAACCCGCACCCTGCGGATCCCAGCAGGCTCTGGGGAAATAAGTGCCCGTTAAGGATTTAGCTCTTAGAAACATATCCCCAGGGAAGCGAGCCTGTAGGCCAAGATTCACAGAATGCTAGAATATCAGATCTTACAAATGTGGCTTCCTGCCATAGCACCCCCAAGGAATCAGATAATTGAGAGCTTATTTCCCACTTTGTTGTCCCTTGATACCTTTGGTGGGGCATGTGCATGGTTCTAAGGAGCAACTCCTTTGACACTAGAGACAACTAATAAATGGTGAGTGCTCACCACGTGGCAGGGGCAACCAGGAACGTCCACCTTGAAGTCCTGGCCAGTTCTCCCAATTCAGCTCCAAACTCTAGAACAGGAGCGTGGAGGCGTGTTCTAGATCTTCTCATTCAGCTTCTCTCTGGGTACAGGGGTCCTTCTGTAGCGTTCCCCAACTGAGTCCAGGGAGCCACCACTTCTTGAGGTAGTTCCATCTCTTGTAACCTAGCTGTCATTAAGATTGTATACCAATCAATCTTACTATAACTTCCTAGTGTTCTTCCTTCTGTTGTCTGTGGCTATTGATGAAAGAACAGCCAATACATCATGGCAAGCAGCCCCAGTCAGTTAGTAGTAGCTGTCTGGAGTCTTGTGTAGAAAAGGGTTCAAGACTTGGGCTCAGAGGGAGAACCCTGAAAACAATGCAGGTAACCAGGTAGCAGTTAGACGATAAGCACATTTCGGTGCAATAGTGACAACCTGTGTGCAGTTCAATGTGTGGGGTGACTGACATTCAGTTAGTAATGTCTGCTGTAGGTACAGGGAAGGAGAACACAGTGCTTGGGCCTGTACAACAATATCGTTTCTGGAACAGACTATTTCTAAGGTCCAAGTCAGTTAAAAAATCTGTGATTAAAATATACTGCTGACTTTTTCAAGAAACAGAGAGGCTGGTATGTTTGCCCTGGAATTTACACTTGTAACCTTTTCCAAACTCTTTTTTCACCAGGTGGCATTAACTGTGGAGAAGGAAATGGCTGGCTTTTGGGTCAAAATCCCATGCGTGGAAGAGATTGGCAGCTGTGTATACGAAGACATCTGTGACATGCTTAATAATTTAATCCCCCCTGGTGTGCCCTGCCCAGAGCCCTTGCACACCTATGGGCTTCCCTGCCACTGTCCCTTCAAAGAAGTGAGTACTTAGGGAGGGGACAGCATTACTCCTGTAGCTAAAGAGATGGGGTTGAGACACAAGGGTCTTTGCATTCTCCTCCTATAGATCTGGTTATTTCTGGATACACAAGTTGGTATGACCTATCTAGGATCATTTACCTTTGGGGGCCTCGGTTTATCCACCTTTGAAATAGGAGACTTGAACTTGGATTTGCTCTCCAGGGACCTTTAGCTGTATAGTGCTGTGGCCATCTCCAATCTTATGTGGCTATTAGGAATAGGGGTAGTTTCTGGCTATAATCCTAGTAGTGACTCCAGGAGATCCCATCAGTAGGTCCCCACTGACCAGTGTGGCCCACTGGCTTTCCTACAGGGCACCTACTCACTGCCCAAGAGCGATTTCACGGTGCCGGACCTGGAGCTGCCCAGCTGGCTCACCAATGGAAACTACCGCATTGAGAGCATCCTGAGCAGTGATGGGAAGCGCCTGGGCTGCATCAAGATCGCTGCCTCTCTACAGAGCAAATAACGGGGCACCAGCCCCAGTCGAATGAAAGCGTATGAGGAAGGTGCCTCTTCCTCTCTCTTGTGTTTGCCAAGATCAGATTCTGATTCTGCTCTTCTTCAACTCCTTTCTGTGATGTATCTACAACCCTCACTGAAAATCATCTTGTGCCACTTACATTTTAGGCTGGGGCAAGCAGCCCTGACCTAATGGAGGTTGAGTCTTGCATCTCTTGATAGCCCAAGACATCTGCTGGGCTGACCATGTCACTTTCCTCCTCACCCCTGTGGTTTCTCTCTAAAGAGCTTTGTTCATTTCCCAAACCGTTAAGAAATGAGAACCAATATGTTTTGGGACCTCAACTTTAGACTGACCCAGTCTTGGCCTCCTGAAGTACCTTTATTGCTTTCTCTTTTGTTTTTTGTGATCACTAACTTAAAAGCAGAGTGAGAGTTCTATGTACTAACATTTTCATTCTATTCCAGTCCTCTTTTACAATGAAGGGGCTAAAATAGTTAATCTTAGTTTATTCCTCCATTAACTTCTGTAGATTAAATTAATCAAATTAATTTGATTTCTTTTCTAGGTTTGCTCAATTAACACTGGGGCACAGTATGTCCTGGAGAGGCAGGTTGTGTGCAGGGAGCCCCTTGGGGGAGACATTTAGGAATGCTCTGTGTTTACAAACTCAGGTGTCTTGCAGGACCAAGCCAGAGACTTTAATGAATAACAAAAACTACTGGAAACACGTTGCTTCCAGGCTTAAATTCCGTTTTTCCTTTTTTGATAAAGATAATACATACAATGGATGCAATAAATAGTTTTTATACTACACAAAAAGTAACAGCGTATTTGCATTGATACTAGGCAGCTGAGGACCAGGCTCCAGCTGGAGTTCTAATTAAGGATAGCAAAGACTGGAGTAATTTGCAGAGCACAAAGCCAGTCTATAAAGATGACCTAGCTGTAACCAGATAGTGCCATGTGAGAATGTTGTGGGCACAGGATTGACAGATAGTCTCAATTTTTTCTCCTAGAGAAGCCAAATATCAAGATTTTTAGATGAAATCTTATAATTTTTAAATATTGGCAAATGTATTTTTTTTAACACTGTGGAGGCCAAAGGGGCTAAAACGGACACAGGTAGCCAGTTTGCAACCTTTGACCTAAGACCGTGCATGCGTTAGTCCTCTCACGATGACTCCTCTGGCACTGTTTCTCCACACGGCCAAAGCCAGCGTCTGACCCCAAGGAGAAGGCTCTTTGAGGGCTTGGGGAGGTGCAGGTGGACTCTCCATTGTGAACTGTGGGGATCACAGGCTGCCTGCTCCAGTCCTGTCTGGGTGAATGGCGCAGGTGCGGAGGAGTTGGCCCCAGCGGAAGCTGCTTTGTGGGGTCCAACAAAAAGAGGATGGACTCAATGTCAGGCTGCCTGGAGTTGTCTACCACCGTCAGCCACGACAACTTTCTCAACCAACACAGCAGCCTCCCGTTCTGGACTCATTTGAAGCCTGGAAATGCAATAAATCTTTTTAACTTGCTGATAATTTTGCCTTTGTCTTATGTGTGTATTTTGTTCATCACATCTTGGAACTTCAGAAGCTTGTTTGGGGAGAAAGGTTTCTGTTGGAGGATTTCTTGCAATGTACAGGTGAGCGGAGGCAATCTCAGAGACAAGTTCTTCTGCTTGTGTCTCATAAGCTGCTTGTTTCTGCCTCATTCTGTATCATCGTTATCTGGCTCTTTATGTTTGCTGTTTTGCTTTCCTGTTACATCATGACCTCCACAGCATTTTTTTCCCTCTGTTGGATCTTTCTGCCTTATTCCCGTCATCGCTTTTTAGTTTACGTTTTTGAATGAAATCTCAGCAGTTCACCTGGTCTTTTTATACCTGCCATACTTTTGGGTTAAAGGTTCCTTGAGGTCTTTTGGGGTTGGAAGGTGAGACGTTGAAGGTGGCATCTCAAATCAAGGGCAAATAGACTTTTTAATAAATGGTGCTGGGCCAACTGCAAAGCCATTTGGGAAAAGTTGAAATTGGATTCATACTTCGCACCATATGCAAGAATGAACTCCAAATGGATCCAAGATCCAAATGCAAGAAAATGAAACCCTACAAATACTAAAAGAAAATAAGAATGAAAAATCCAGAGGCAATAAAAGATTGATAAATTAGACTACATAAAAATGCTTGGCAAAAACCACTATTAAAGTCAGGGTCTGGCTTGGTGGCTCATGCCTGTAATCCCAGCACTTGGGAGGCTGAGGTGGGTAGATTGCCTGAGTTCATGAGTTCAAAACCAGCCTGAGCCAGAGCGAGACACCATCTCTAAAAAATAGCCAGGCTTTGGGCAGTGCCTGTAGTCCCAGCTACTTGGGGGCTGAGGCAAGAGGATCTCTTGAGGCCAAGAGTTTGAGGTTGCTGTGAGCTATGATGTCATAGTATTCTAGTGAGAGTGACAAAGTAAGCCTTTTATTTTTTTAAAGACACTATTAAAGTCAAAAGACAGGGGGAAACATTTGCAGCATATATGATAGATTTAACATTTTTACTATCCAAAGAATTAAAAATTAAAGGCCAGGCCAGGCATACCTGTAATCCCAGCACTCTGGGAGGCCAAGGCAGGAGGATAGCTTGAGGTTAAGGGTTTGCAACCAGCCTAATGACAGCGAGACCCCATCCCTGCTAAAAGTAGAAAAATTAGTGGGGCATGGTAGTATGCACCTGTAGTCCCAGCTATTTGCGAAGCTGAGGCAAGAGGATCAGTGGTGCCCAGGAGTGTGAGGTTACAGTGATTTAGGATGACACTACTGCGGACAGTGCAGTCTTAAAAAAA